ATTCTATCAGTTTAACAGCATAATAACCCATGCAGATTGATTTATAAACTTTTTGAGTTGGGTTATCATGCTAGTGAACTGAAAGAAAATCATCATTTACATGGAAATCATTTGGTTTCCTTTGGTTGATTAGGAGTTGTGTTAAAGGCCAGGAGTGGAGAGGAGTCGAAGATGTCTCGAGTTGCAAATTTAATTGCTTGTTTTTCTTGTTTTTGTTCATTATGACTCTTGTTTTGCTCATTGATCTCTGGGCACTTGAGGAACCAAAATGCTAAGAAAAAATAGTATATTGAATGATAAGACTGTTCACTGAATACAAACTGTTTTTCCTCCCCCTCTAAAGTGGAGCTGGTAAATCCACCTTAATGAATGTGTTAGCACATCGCAACATTGGTCAAGTGCAGGTGATGGGAACAGTGGAAGTGAATGGGCACCCTGTTGGTCTCGAAATTAATGCCTTGTCAGCGTATATCCAACAGGAAGACTTATTTATTGGATCACTGACAGTTAGAGAACATCTGATATTCCAGGTATTTTCTGTGCTTGTTTTGGTGTTGTCCTAGTAAAAACGTCTCTTACAAACTAAGTTTGAAGTTCCATACTGTAAGTTATGGAACAGGCTTTTTCTGCTCTTATTATGGTCCATGCATGACATGCACTGGCCTTAAACTCAAGCAAACAAAAAACAGGTTCTGTAACATACATTTCAAACTGCAAAAATAAGGTTTTGACAAACTTTTGAATTTAGTGGGCTGTGTGGTGGAATGCAGTATTAGATGAATATAAAGAAGTATCCATCCTAAAATAGTTAATTAAACCAATTCTATTCTGTTTATTATTTGTCATAAACTTGTCACATGCCATCAATCTGTTGTGTGTCATCCATATATACTGTAAATTATATAGTTTTTTCCTATATATTTATGATGTAATGTCACATGGTTTTGCTATTTTTACTTGTGATTAATTATGACATATTGTTTGAAGCTGATTCATGTTTGTTTGAGTCATTAATATATAAATATATGTACAACTCATGTATGCTACATGCTGTGTTTGTGATTGTAAAATTGAAGCAAAAGTTTGGTGTAAATGTTGGAAATGTTTTTGCTAAGGACAAATAAATTAGGCATCTAGAATGTTCGTTTTATTTAATATTAGCTATTTTTCCATGGCCAGTAAATCATATAATCCAAAATTGGGATTACAAATAGGGCTCAAATTCACACCCTTACCCAGGCAAGTTTCAAATTCCCCACCTCTCAGGATGTTGAAGTGTCAAACTGATTGAAATGATCACTCACTAAAAGAAGTTCTTGAATATTTACGAAATTCTTCTTGCTAGCATGGCACCTCATCTAGGAAATGTAATGAGAACAGTATAGAGCTTGTGCATACTGATATTAGGGTTTAAAGTGTTTTTGTTTTAGACAAAGATTGATTTTAATCAATTCAATGAATTCAATTGTTGTTTGAAAATAGGCTCTTCTTCGTATGGATAAACACACATCCAAGGCAAAACGAAAGGAGCGTGTAGAGGAAGTCATGCTTGAGGTAACTGCATTGAAATTATTTAATTTATATCTACTGCTTTATGCAAGGGTTTCTTTTTAAATGGCTAAAACGAATAGTAGAGTACCATGGCATTATTTTGATTTGTAAATCTCCTTTGTTCTATCAACTAGCTTGGTTTGAAAAAGTGTGCAGACACAGTCATTGGTATTCCAGGAAGACTGCGCGGAATTTCTGGTGGAGAGAAGAAACGCTTAGCATTTGCATCAGAGGTGGGTATGGTGATTAATGGTGAATACATGTCCTTGAATGCATCTTTTGGCATAAAGTTACTAGAGGATTTCAGTTTCCAAGTCTCCTTTTGACTATTGGTTTGGGTTGCTAATTAACTTTTTGGCCTTATTGTGAATTTCAAGAAGGGAGATTTAAACACTTCAAGTCCCAAGATTTAGGTCATATTTCATTTAAATTTCTTCTGCAAGGATAGACAAGGGAATAGCAGAGAATATGAAGTCTTATGTCATTATCATACCCTCCAGCTGATTAGTTTGGTAATAAATAAACTTAAATTATAAACTACAGATAGAAAGATCACAGGTTTGTGCATTTAACTATACTCAGTGTTTTCATTGTGGGAAGTAGACTCAGAACAAAGTGACTCCACCATATTGGGCAATGGGTACCAAGAAACTGTAAGGGATTGTAAACCAGATGAAATGTTGGGGGCCCTTTAGAAATGACCACCACCAATACCTGAGCAGTCAGTTAAGTAAGAATGATCCAATCCTAGTTGCTTCATTCTTTAGAAATAACTTGGCTAAGCTTTTAGTTATTGCACATCAGAGTGCCCATCGTATACAGGCTTCACCTTCATTTTTTTTTCTTCCAAGGTTTTGACAAACCCTCCACTACTTTTTGCTGACGAACCAACATCTGGCCTGGATGCATTCATGGCGCAGAGTTTAATAACATCACTTCAACGTCTTGCAGCCAGTGGTCGGACTATCATGTGCACAATTCATCAGCCATCTTCTGAAGTGTATGCCATGTTTGACAGGTACAGTTTTGATTGTTTCCTGGGGTAGGCCACATGTAGCTACTACTCTGACAATAAAATGATTGCATTTTGACGGCAAGGGATTGCAATCTCAGAATTAATGCCTGACTCAGTATCTGAGAAACTGTGCATCTACCCCCTCCACTAATCAAATAATAGTCAGCTGACGACAAGTTGGGGTCAATATTGGGCTAGGAGAGGGTTAGGTGGGCAGTTGCTCAGATACTGACATTGATCTCAATCTCACATAGAGAAATGCACTTCTGTAAATTAATGTCAGTCTTGGAGAAACCATGTATTAAGGCATTTTGGATCACTTGTGCATTGTTTTTGGGTGGAGACATATTTCAGTTATTTTTAAACTCAACTGACTCTGATACTCTCCTTTTAATGTTTGACAACCTGATAATGTTTCATTTGCAATTTCCTCTCATTACCTTTTATTAAAACATTTGATGAAAAGAGGTCAAGGTATAAAAAGAACTGTGGAGAGACTTGAGATTTGGAAGGGTTTTGAAGCTCAAAGGTCTATTATGTCTCAGCAAGTTTCACTCTTCAAAGTGGTAGCATTTCAAAGCAAATACAGTAGTGTGAGTGTAAATGTTTCTATTCAAGCCAGAGTTGCAAATTTGTTTCCCGGGTTGATACATGGGCATGCAATAAACACCAAACCAATAGGATCTTTTCTTTCTTTATTCCTTTTCCTATTCCTTGGGGTGTAATTATATCGAAGCAGTCAACTGAAATTATTACATAAAGAAATCACCTAAGTATCGTGATCATAGCTTAAGAATAATCTCGATTTTGGAAACGAGCATGCAGCAATTTAAAGAACCAAAAGAAAGGTTAAAAACAAGCTATAATTTTACTTTGAGTAATGACTACAAGCTAGATAACATAATCACAAAACAACTTATTGCTTGCCAACATTCGCAGGTCTTGATTACTTTATCAAGGGTTACAGTCTAACTTGTCTTCTATTCAAAAACAATCTTGATCACATGGGGTCTTATCTTGAACTGAAACACTAACTATAATTTTCTGGCTATAAAGAACTAATCACAGGGGTGTCAACCTAACCTGAAAATATTTCGCAGTTTTTCTTGGAAGCAGTAACACTTAGCTTCAATGGAAGCAGTAACAAAGAAGGCTTATAAAATGTGCTGAGAATTTGTGACCTTTAACACCATTCCCTTCAGGGGTATCCTTAAGTGTTCTACTACAATTCATCATTGTTTAACTGTTCATTTTTTTTTTTTTAGCATTTTGCTGATGGCTGAAGGTAGAGTAGCTTACATGGGTTCCACAGCTGATGCAATACCTTACTTCAGTGGGTATGTTAACAAATGAATCTGATATCCTATTGAATGGGAGGGTAGGTGCTGTGAAAATAGCAGTAGAGAAGGATGACAACTTAAAGTAACCCCAATTACAAGGAAGTCACAGTCATGGTCACCATGGCAACTAAGCTGGTACTGCTCACCTACAAGCATTTTTCAACATAACACTGACAAACCAATTTGTGGAATGGGTACTTGCCAAAATGGGGGGTGTGAGGGAGAGGAAGAGAATAAAAGCACGGAAAGCAGCAAAGAAACTGAGAAAAAACACATAAAAAAAAAAACACAGAAAACACAGAAGCCTTCCACATCTGGTTGGTGATTGAACTGTTACTCTTGCATGCAGTTTAACCTTATGTAAATTACATTTAGCCTTATGTAGCATTCTTGTGTCTCTATTGCAGCCTTGGGTATCCCTGTCCCATGAACTTCAACCCTGCAGATTACTTTGTCCACACTTTGGCTATTGTGCCAGGAGATGAAGAGCACTGTAAGGAAAGAGTTAAGGTAAAGTGTAGTTAGCAAGAAATGGTTGTTAGGGGAACAGTAGAAATTCAGGGGTCATATAAAATGAATGCTTTTCTAATATTGGGTTGATTGGATGGTGGCAGACATGGTGGCTTAACCCTCTACACCCTAACATCAGTATGCATATTCTCCATACTGTTCTCTGTACATTTACAAAGGTGCTGACAAGGAGAATTTGTCTAACAATCAAGAGTTTCTTTATTTGGTGATCATTTCCCTTATTCTCATGACATTGATGTGCGATTCAGTGCTGATACTATAAGGAGAAATTAGATGCCAGTCACTCTAAGGGGTTATTTAGTCTGGTGGACTCCAGGTGGGGAGGTCTGGATGTGAAACAGGGCCAGGTCATTGTGATGTGTTATGAGGCAAGACATTGTACATACTCAAACTGCCCCTTTCAACTCAGTAGTCTAAATGGTTCTGACAAATTGTTAGGTAGACCAGTTGAAATACAAGGGGTAACCTGTAATGGACTGGCCTCCCATTAAGGCATACTCACTTAGCTACATGTTGTATACTTCAAGTCCCTCCAAGTCGTGGAGACCAGTATTAGCTCTGTGCGTCATTAACCCTGTACACCATAACATCAATATGCATATTCTCCACAATGTTTTCCATACATTTAAGATCTTCTCTGGTTGGTGATCATTTCCTTTATTCTCATGACCTTAATGTGTGACCCAGGGGTGATATTGTAAGGAGAAATTAGATGCCAGTCACTCTCAGAGTTCAAAGGGTTAAGGGTGCCTGGCTTGAGTGTAGACACGATAGCGGCATAGTTGTTAGCTCAAAGGACCCACCTTCAGTTTGGAAGGTCTAAGTTCTAATCCTCAATCAGGTCACTTCATGTGCAAGGAGTGTTCTTTGGCAAGGTGGGTACCAGTAAATTCTCAGGAAAACCTCGAAAAGTTGCAGGTGGAGGGGGCTAACTGCAATATGGTCTAGAATTCAATCCAGATGGAGGACTGATACTCAAAGTTGCTTTAAACAAATGATGCCGGGATAATCGGGTCATTCAATCTCGTATGGAAATCAAACCTTAATCTGTGATTTGTTGTGAAAATTTCTTTTTGCCATATAACTTAAGGCTTTTGTCAGAAATTAATGTGATTTTCTTTTCCTATCTAGGAAATCTGTGATGCATACAGTGAACGTGCAGCAGAAATTGCCAAAGAAGAAAGTGGGCTTGACAGACAGGTTTGTGGCAGTTTAAAATGATCTTTAAAGCCCCGGCTCAGAATTTCTTGTTCATACGGTGTGATGTGTGTCAAAAGCAGAATTATGACTAAATTTTTAAGCTCTCTATGGCTGCTAGCTATCTTTTCTATGAGATGTTAACATGCACTCTTCACTTTCTTTGCGATGTGAATGGTGAAACCCAACTCTCCCCTCCCCTCCCCTCACCCTCACCCTCACCCTCAGCTCATACTTGCTCCATTACAGTCACGCCTCATTTCCAGAGAGGGGGGGGGGGGGGGGGGGGGGGGGGGGGGGGAGGAGGTGGGTGAGGCAGAAAGAAGAGAAGTCCTGGTGACGTGGCTACCTCCAATACTCTCCTTCAAATGCGTGAAAGAATAGTAACAGTAACTGTGCATGTAATGTTAGGACTAACTGGACTATGCTACGAAGTGCCAATAATCTTTTAACTTCCATTAGTGACAAACATATACCTTCCCTAGCTGATTTTACAGAGGGAAATGAGGACGCAGAGTATTAAGCGACTGGAGCCCAAACCTTTTGAGATCTTCATGTGCCATCCGAATTCGTCTCTTCCTTCTCTTACCGTCCGTAGCCGGGTTTGGTGCTCTCTCATTACTTTAGCGCTTTTCTTATATTTCAGGATTCCTTCAAAGGAGATGTTCTTTTCAAGAAGCAATCACCGTAAGAATTTATACTTATCCTTGTGCTAAAACTACGCGAGTTCATATTGTTGTTAGTGTGTCATGAACCAGGTCGTGTCTGTCACACGTCTGCTTGAGAAATTGACATGTGTACATTTTGTTCTAATCCGGCTGAAAAGAATGGTGGAAAAATCGCCCAGAATTTTCATTACTTTTACTAGGGTCTTTTGGAAAAGGCGAGTGAATTTGAACTCTGTTTTTCTTTTCAGATAACTTGCATTCTGTGTCGCCTTTTTTGCATAATATTGTTAAAAGGTTACACTTTTGTAATTCTATTTTTCGTAGATACAAAGTTTCCTGGTGTCGACAACTTTGGGCCGTCTTGTGGCGCTCTTGGATTACCAACAGTAGAGACATTATCATTTTCAGAATTAGAATATTTCAATCAATTGTGAGTTGTTTCCATAATTTAGTCAAACGTATGTTACTATTGTAGACCCAGACAATGGCTTAAAATCAGTGGCAAAGTGCCTAAAATACTGATTAAAAGACCACTCCTGAAAGGAGTCCGGAACCCCTACTCCCCTTCTCCCCCCCCCCCCCCCCCCCCCCCCCCCCCCCCCCCCCCTTCCTTCCTTCGCACCCTCCGAAATTCAGCTGCGAAATGTTCGCCATTGTATTGGGTTTGGGAGGGAGGAGAGGGAGAGGCAAACACCTTCACAGCATTAAGGAACATTTTTACAGTCTTAGCCCTTTTGCCACTGATTGTCGCTAATTACGTTCTTCGTCGTCATAGATAATGTAAATTCGAGACATCGTTTTTCCTTTTATTTTAGAAATGTAAATTCGAGACATCGTATCATGTAATGACAAATCACAGTGTATCTTGTTCATTAAAAATGTTGTACTTCTCATGCGCGAGCAATTTCGGTCTGTTTTTCTTTCCTTTTTGATGTAAACAACTTCTAAACAAGTCGCAAAATATAGCGTATCTCTGTTCATTGATCTTAATCTCTCTCTCTGTTAACTTTACGTAGGTTACTGCGCTGATCGCTGGATTAATCTATCTTCAAATACCTTATGATCAAGATGGTATTCAGAACATTGCTGGCGTATATTTCTTTCTAGTTACATCTACTTCGTTTTCCAATCTTCAGGGAGTCCTCTTTGTAAGTATATCAACACTAAAGTACAGAACTGATGTTTCTCTCCTTTTCCTACCCTCGAATTTGATCAGTAAGCATAGCTGTAAGAAAAACGGGAGAAATGATCCAAGAAATTTACCCTTTACACCTGACGATCAGTAGGCATATTCTCCTTTCTGATCTCTACACTTTCCTTAAGACGATAGAGGGGATTTGTTTGACAATCAAAAGCTTCCTTTGTTGGTGATCATTTCCGGTATTCTCGTGACCTTAATGTTTGATTCAGTGGTAATATTGTTAAGAGAAATTAGATGCTAGTCACTCTTAAAGGTCAGAGGGTTAATCGTATTTCAGAAAACGTGTAGGTTTACTCTACGAATTTCAAGTGTGTTTTGTGCCCTCATCATTTCGAATATATTTCAGGGGAAAACTGAAAAATTTGAACTACTGCACAAGTATTGAAGTAATACTTGATTTCTTTACAGGTGTTTCCAGTTGAACTACCTGTTTTTATACGAGAACACAAAAATGGAATGTACAGAACAGACGTCTACTATCTCGCGAAGACTTTGTCCGAGGTACCGTGATGTGGAATTGATTTGATTTGTAGTTACCATCAAAATCACTTAACTCTGATCACCAAGTATTCTTCTGGAATGTTATTATGCCGAAAGGAGCTAATCCATGGAACGTAAAAGCAGCAAAACTGTTAGCAGCAACGATAATAAGTTTCGAAAGAGGAGTGTCATCGTTTTTCTCACGATTAAGTCACAAATCAACTTGTGAATAAATAAAATGCGAGATTTCTAATTCGGGCTGACATTACATTAAGTAGTGATAGATTTCTCGGGAAGTTCCAGGGTCTTATGTAAGAGGAATCTGGTTTTATCAACTGAGTTGATAATGTAAATTAGCCACCGTAAAGAGTTTCAAAGCGGACGTTTCGTGCGTTGACCCTGCGTCAGAGCTAATGGAGGAATTGTGGGCTATGTGTGTTTATATGCAGAAAACGGAGCTACGCTATCGGTGGGAACACGGTAACGAGAAAAACAAGAATAAATTAGTTGAATGAAGAGCGTTTGTTGATACCGTGGTAATCAAGAGTGTCGTTTTGAGGAAAAAAATTTTCGTTGTACAGTTTTGCGGCTTCCCGAACTGCCTAGATGTAAGGAAAGGCCGCAGACTACCTTATGCTGCTTAGAATGATTAGGGAAATTAAAGTATCTAGCAGCACCACAGTTCCTTTAGAAGCTTACGCCCTTTATTCATTTCTTAGACCAAAGGGTCAATGATACGCGAATGAATTGGTGGAATTTTAAACATGTGATCAATTTGTTTTCGTAGGTGCCCATTTTTATCATTACTCCTTTGCTTCTGACCGGTATTTCGTATTGGATGATCGGTAAGAAATATTTTTAAAAGAGACGTGTTTTACTCCTTGATTATTTTATACATCAAGTGTGCAGCTAGGGAGGGGAGAGGAGGTCCGGGGGTGCCCGTGACCTCCCCTTTGTAACCCTTTTTTTTTTTTCACTTAAAGTGAAACACGGCGTGGAGGTCGACAGTGTGGTGAATTTTCGTTGAACTATTAGCACATTTTTCTCGTATGAGTAGTTAGAGTAGTGTTGCTTTTTAATCCAAAGAAACTATTAAGTTCTACTATTCTTTTTTGGCAGGTTTGAGGGATAGATTTTTAAATTTCGTAATCTGTTACGCAATTATGGTTTTGGTAACAAATGTGGCGGTCTCCTTTGGTAAGTCTCGTGTACCTTGATCACGTCAACAAGCTCTCATGTTTACGTATGGTTCAATCCAATAATGTTGCGAACGATGTTGTTCAACGAACGAATCCGAACGAACAAATTTGAACGAGAGAACGAACGTATAGTAACGGTGGCCAATCGAAAGGTTAATCGAATGAGCCAACGAGTTAGTTGGAAGTACTATTCAACTTCCGAAGGAATGATCAAGAGAACTGAGCAACAGTGTTACACCCACAAACCACGAAAACTTCGAACGAACAACCATCAACCAAACAATCCAACCAATGCACGAACCATGAATGATCGAATCATCGACCGAACGAACAATCACACCGTAGAACCAACGAGCCAACAGTGTGTCCACTATTGCTGACAATCACAAATATTTTTCAGGGTACATCATATCGACAATAGCACCAACCATTACTGCAGCAACATCTTTGGGTCCTCCACTTATGTTACCTTTATTGATTTTCGGAGGATTCTTTCTCAAGTCGACGTAAGTTGTCTCCCTTGTCTTCATTATTACGTACCTTGAATACATCTACACTGTAAACATTTGTTGTGTGAGACGCGGTGGCCTTGTGTTAGCGTACTGAACTCTAGAAGTCTGGGTTCGAGCCTTAGATGGATCACTGTGTGCGGTTCGTGTGCAAAATGCACGGGGCCTTTCCATTCAAGAGTAAAAATGGGTAGCATGCAAGAGACTGTTTGGGAGACCTGGTGAAATGGTAACGAACGATGGAGCAGCTTCTAACCTTGGGAGTGTAGCAATGGTTAAAGAAGCACCAACATGTGATCACTCATGAATATATATTTTGGTGTTTCTTTCCCTTAATAAAGTCATTGGGCTTTGTAGGAGCTCTCTTTCTAAATTTGTTTTCTACATTTTTTGAGAGATTTTCCTGTTGTTGTTGGGTTTTTTTGGGTTTTTTTTTTGTTTTTTTTTTTTGTCGTTTTATGTGTGTGATTTTGTGATCTGCGAAAAAAGGCACCGTTAACTTGGAAGAAACTTATCAAAGATCAAATTTTGTTCTGTGAGATGGACAAAAAAACCGCGTAACTGTCTACAAAATATCAATGTGTTCATGATCTCGTGAGCAGTGGAAGTAAACCAAGTCGGAACGATTATGGCCAAGGAGGGAGAAAATATCAATTCTGCTGTTTTGATAAGGACAACTAAATAACGAAGTGTAAAGTGGGCTCCGATTTAATACCGCTAACACGAAGTCACCCAGTGTAAACTTCACCGGCAGTCTGCATTTTCGTTGATGAATTAAAAAACTGGACCCCCATTCACTCACTTCTTGTTTTTTTGTTTCAGATCGGTGCCGGTTTATTTTGTGTGGCTGAAGTACATTTCTTGGTTTATGTATGGCTTTGAAGCTCTCATAATCAACCAGTGGAAAGACTATGGTTCTATCAGTATGTTTTGTGTTGTTTATTGTTTCTTTTGAAGCCCTGTTCATCAACCAGTGGAAAGACTTGGGTTCTCTAAGTATGTTTGGTGTTGTTTATTATTTCTCTGGAATCTCCAGTAAGCCTCTGCCTCCAAAACGCTCAGCCAAACAAGAATGTAACGTGTCCTGAAAGCGTTTTATACCGTTGACGAAACCGTGTTTTGCTCGTAGGTTGTGGTACAAATGCTACAGCTACACCGCCAGTTGTTAACGGTACCGGTGCAGTTCCGGGAGAAAAAGGGTTTTGTATAAAGAACGGAAACCAAGCCATTGACTTCCTGGGCTTTAAAGAGGTACGTAAAGAATAGGTGACCTCGTAGAAAACAAATTTGGAAGACCTCTATTGGTGGAACAAATTTTTTGTAAACAGATAAAAATGTCAAGAAGATATACTGCACGAAAACTTGAAAATAAAGATCAACCATTTTGGAGCCCGGATTTTCTTCTGTGCGCCATATCAAAATAAACCACGTTAAATGTTGTCATATTCCTGTATTTCTTACCATTTCTTACTGTGCAGGCACCGAAACTGCCGCATTACATTAACCCTCTTCTTAGGTCAAAAATAAAATCATTGCGTTGCCTTGCCAGCTTGTTATTTTGTTGAAGCAAGAGTTCGATAACTTTTTTTTTCTTATATTTTTTTTACTTTTAGGACAATTTGCTGTTCGACGTGTACTGTCTCATAGCTTTAATGGTTGGCTTCCGTGTACTTTCCTTCTTGTTTTTGCTGAGAAGATCTTACAAACAACAGTGATCTCTACTCCTTTCTTTAAAACACTATAGTATGCACTCTATCGTTATTTTGTTTATTCTCTGCTCCTTGGTGGCTCTTGTACTTGTACTTAGGCGGGTGTTACGGTGGAAACATGAGGAAGGCCAAAATGGAAGGTGCTCAGCGTACGATTGAAGGAGAGATGATTCATCTTTTCTTTCGAAGCGCACCTTAGACTGGTATCCTCCTCTTCTTGAATAAAGAGAGTTTATTCATGTAGAAGTTTTAGGTAAAGAAACTAAGCCGTAGTAAAAATAGGCTGTGGCCGAAAATTTTTTCAACATTTTCGCCCATTACTCGTTTATTTTTGACTTCTTTGTTTTTTTTTTTCCTGCTTGTTATCATTTACCTTCTCAAAAATTACCAGATGAAGTTTCTCTATGACTGTGTGTTGCAGCTTGTTAATTATTGATCAGCATTCATTGACTGACATGTGACTGTACCTGTTACACCTCGTTGTTCATGACCTGATGTATTACAGGAGAGCACATGCGAATTAAGTATATTCTATATTTGTAGTTTATAACATTATATCAAGTTTACTTTGATATACAATATATCTGATGAAGCAGTACACTGTTTTTTTTCTTTAATTCATAATTTTTAACGATAATTCATGGTATTATGTAGAATGTGGAAAAAAAAATCCTGCAGTAACTCAAGGTAAAGCTCTCGCTAAGAAAAGCATCGATAAAAATGAAAAATGTTTCCTACACGATTTATTAGCGGTTATCAGTTTTGCGTTAGCGGAGTTGTATTGAGTTAATCAGCTACGTTTTAAAATTTTCTAACCTGTCGCAAGGACATTGTTGCGATTCTATATTTGTAGTTGAAAACATCAAGTTTACTTTGATATACAATGTAACTGATGAAACAGTACATTGCGGTTCTTTATAGTTAACAATTTTTTATCGATAATTCATAATGATATGTAGAATATAGAAAAAAAAAGCCCTGTATTTCGTGGTAACTTAAGGTAAAGCTTTTGCTAAGAAAAACCTCGGTAAAAATGAAAAATGTTTCCTACACGATGCAAGTTGTATGAGACATCACTAAATGTTTTGTGTTACGAAAAGTACATTAGTAGCCTAGTGTAGATTACATCGAAATGAACTTGTCTCTGAATGGTCGTTTCTTATTTTGTTCAGATTACCTTTTTTTTAATGTTCATTTTCTTTTGGCGCGAACTTCGTCGAGCCGTGTACCGAGCATGCGTGTAACAAGGTCTCATGAGGGGGTATAATAAAAAAACTGTTCTTACGATGTGCTAACGTAAGCCGTGTACACGTACCCTGTTGAGATGCGCATGCTGCAACGGAATCTTAACGAACCGGGAACAGAGTTGAGACGAAGAGAAATGATAGAAGAATTCCTTTAAATATTACCTTAAAACCAGCTCTTCAAAAAATTCGATAATTACTTTACAGGAGAGAAATTTGTCTCCACGCATCAAACTGTCAACGTTATATTGTGGCTCAAGATCCATCGAACATTTTGGCTTGCACGCGGCGATTGGTCTAAATG